TGTCCCGATTAATTGGTTCCTCCCTGTGAAGGTAATCAGGCATATATTTGAAATATGTGTTACCTGTCTCTTTTTCCTCTCCTTTATTCTACCTGAAGCATTCAATAACTTCATGTTCAAATATCGGGATGGAACTGTTGTTAGATTTTAAAATTATTGTCATGCATTATGTTTACTTCATTTTCCTTTGTAATTGTTTTTTTTTCTACGTTGGTGATGGACGAAGATTAAATCATTTTAAAATTCTTACATTATACCTTTCTAATATTGATTTTCCAAAAACATCAAGCATGAGAGACATGCAAAGACAACGATGTGGGTAGGGCTTCGATCGGTTTTGCCGTTTTCAATACATTCTTCTACAAATGTTAAATGTATTTATTTATTGCATAGTTTTCCAAACGACCATCCCATTTTGATTTCCAGTTATATATTCTTTAGGAAAAATAAAAAACTGTCAGCACAACTCCACTGTCAAAAATAGAATCAGTATTTTTATTTTATGTTACATGATTTTATGGATGGGATAATTTAAGTATGACGCTGCCGGGGTTTGAACCTGCGAACTTCTGCATACGAGGCTGACGGTCTTAGACGCTCAGCAATCAGCGTTAAAAATACCACACACACACACACACACACACACTTTATATGAATTTAGCACATATATAACTATGCCATTATTTTATTGACAGATCAGTGAATAACACAGCATTAAGGAGTTGTAACTTACTAAATAAAACTTTTGGAATATTGCAAATTCACTCTGATCACTAAAATTCAACAATGCTAAGATAGCGGGATTTATTGGATGTTTTTCGACAAACTATGTGTCGGAAAGACAACTCAGTAAATCGCACAACCGTAAACAAATTTAGAGCCCGGTAATCGAGACTGCATCCCACAAGAGAAATGTCAAAATGACAAACAACCATACAAACATCATCTCCTATAAATGAAAACTTTAGACAGGAGTGTAGCAAACTTACACTTCGCTCTAATTTAGCTAACGAAGAATTGCAAGGACGAGGTCATGAACGACTAGTTGATAAATATGATCGACGAAGTTATCAAAGAGGGCGCCTGAGGTTTCCTAGCGAACGATTGGGTACAGCGATAGAAGATATGATCTGGGAAACCCAATTGCGTTGCACTTATTGAGATCTACCAATGCATTGGTGACGTGTTCTTATAGCATAGAGTTCAAATTTATTTAAGAGATTAACATTGAACTTGGGCTAGGTAAGATAATAGGGAAGGACCAACACAAAGCATTACCAATATAGACTGAACTGTCAATCTTATATACCCCATTATTGAATAAGAAACAAACAATGCTGTGTTTCCCATGTGCTCCTTCTGTACTAATTGTTAAAACCTATATTGTTATCTGGGTCATTCTGACGGCGCAGAAATAAAACTGATCTCAAAGATATTAAAGCAATCTCAACGATCAAAAAGCCCACGTCAGACGGTGTCTTTAGAAACCTTGTACCAGAAGGTCGACTAGCGAAATGATCGAGTTTGCATAATTGCTGACATTCCCAATATAAGACAATATTTAGGTATCAATTGATTGTTAATGGTGCCGATTTTGTGAACATTTCTATATACAAATGCAACAGATATCATTTCTAAAACAACAGATGTTTTGTTCAACTTGGTTGGATGAAAATATGTCCTCCATTTAAATGCCAATTCAACTAATGAATCACGGGATTGAAAGAAAACAAAATCGCAATACGAAATCTACTTTATATATAGAATGCAGACGAGATATTGATACTTGTAAGAGGTCACCGATGTTACACCTATATGAAGAGTTCGGGTGTAAAATATGTCAACAATATGTGCCACATGTTCACTAATACTATCGTTATCAGTGTAGCAAAGTTCACAACTATGAAAATAGTTTAATTTTTTTATTCAATCGTACTATTTCTTCGAACTAGTTCGTCAAATGGTGCACAACTTAAACAATATATATTGTCTAAAAGCTGAATAGGTTTTGACAAGCAGACGTGGATATTTTGCGCCATTTAATACAAAACAATATTTAAAGACCAACTAACTGGAAAACCCTAACATATTAGCGTACTTGTTGTAGATCCCTTATAGTGTATTATGGTAACAAATTTAGATATGGATACGGAGGAAGGACAGACACCTCTATTGCCTGCCTTTTAAAAAAGAATGGAACCAATGATTATAAAAGTCGGCAAAAAGTGAATCAATTAGTCACCAGAGTCGTCGAAGACGAGACGCTTCAGATGCCGATTGCTCTTGTTCATATCATAAGCTACATGCGAAAATATAAATATAATAAAGTGCTAGTTCACTGTCTGGGATGCCGTGTAAAATTGAATATTTATATTAATTCTCCCGCAAGGAGAAGAGAATATAAAATCCCTAACACCAACTATAAGAACGACGCCCACTGACAAAGCGATCCAAAATGAATGCTTCAAGAATAGTTTTTCTGTCTGACGCGTGTGTCTTCTAGCATTATTGAAACATCATTACCTCTACCCCATTTGTCTGATGATCACTACTACGACCTTGACAACATCCGCACCGAAGCTTTCTACGTTTGGTACCACACTCATGCCTGAGACCCTTCGACGTTCAAGAAAAAATGTTAAAGTATTGTCGATCTAACGTGGACATTTTACGGCTTCACTATGGAAAAGTTCGAGAATTATTCATTGAGCACAGAGGGATCGATCCTTTAAAACAAGCATATACCAATACCATGCTTCAACCGATTTATAACCGAAAACATACTAGCTATCATCTGCATTGAAACGACCAATTTTATCAAGTCTTTATGTTGTTAAAATCCTACGCTGGCTACATTACTTGTGCAACAAGGGAGACAACATGCCGGAAACGGGAGAGGTGCAAAGACCATTGAAAAGTATTCAATAGATGGCTGGCTGGGACTTAGAAAACCCCTTTTGTTTAACGGTTGAGTATGCCACATATATCCGATCTGTTACTCTCAACGTGACACTAAAAATCGGTTTTTACCATGGAAGGCTTGTAGAAGGTCACCTGTCAGCGGCGCTTCAAGTTTAAACAGCAACGAAACAAATTTGTCGAAATATGCGAATACGTGCATGATGACCGTTTGAAAACCGATTCCGAGTTTAAGCGTATCGTGGAAAGTTACAAGTTGGTTTAAACTCTGAAAATGCGGGATAGTTTGTATGGAGGATGGACACCTGCTTGCTGCACCAAGTCAAGGAGGAGAAATGAGAAGAAATATAAAACCTGTACGTGGGGTTATTGTATCTTTACGTGTGTATATATTGTCACTTTCTCGCAGGGCAAACACAAATGCTGATGAAGTACATCGACCTGGAAAACATTCGACAATACGAAGGATTGATCAAGTCCAACGTCTTGCCTCTCACGGACTTGTACCATAAAGTAGTACCTCACTATTGCCAAGGTAAACTGTTTTACTTGTGCCATACCTGTACCGAAACGTGCAATAAAGGCCAACCTTGTCAGCAAACCAGTAAAGAAAGTTCCTTGACGAAAATGTGGGTCAACGTGAAATTATTTAAAGCTCCTGTACCTTGGGTACCAACTGTTAGAAGTGTACAAAATTGTCACTTTCCCAAAACAGAACAGTACCACAAGGGTGACGACACGCATTTCGCAGACTAAGATAATGCTTCTTTTTAAACTAATATAATAATCCAGTGGCTATCCTTAATGGTTCTACACTCCCGAAGACCTAATGAAATTCAAAGATAAATACTTGGAGCAGGAAGGCATCACTTTATACCACGTAGGAAAAACGAAGGAAGGCAATTGTTTGCTAAAGTGATGTTAAAATGATTGTGGGGAAAATGGCACAACGACCGTCTTTGCCCAAGACTGATTATTTGTCCGATCCTTCCCGTTACTTCCAGATGATGACAAAACCAAATACAAGAAATTTGTGGACGTCGTTCGTGAAGACTTGATCCTGGTCAATTACGAAGAAGAAATGGACCTTGCAGAAGCCGACGAATTTTGGAAATAAAATCATTGAGGACATTACAGCCCATACTTGCTTAAATCTGTACGAAGCTTTAGAACTGTTAGGAAATCGCGTGCTGTATTTTGATACGGACAGTTGCATCTACTTCGATAGCCTGGGTCATCGACACACTGACATCGAAGGAAACCGTTTAGAAGCCTGGACAGACCGTTAAGGAGATTTGATGTTCGAGCACCCAAACGACAAGATTCTAAGTTTTGCTTCTTGCGGTCTCACTAATACCTCTTTCCCAAGAAGAAGTTCACACCGAGTGTAAAGTGAAAAGATTGTCTCTCAAGTATGAAATGGTGAATTTTGGCGTGTTTGAAAGAAACAATACAGTCTGAAAAGGATCACGATTTCAATGTGACCAACCTCACAAGATTGACCGTACACACCAAATCGTCAGTTGGTCATAGGAAAAGGTATATCAAATTGGGACCAGTAGTGCGTGCGACATCCCAACAACTTCACTATGCCATACGTGCATACTGGTATAAAAATGGTTGCAAGGCCATAGTTACCAACAAGAAGGATTACCTAGACACAACAAGTTCAAACAATGCTACTTTGTTGTCATCTTGCCTGGCTATTTTCATTGTACCAGTCGATTGGAAACGCTTCACAAAAGGCCCACTGAGAGGGAAGGATTGCCTACTTTGAATGTGTTAGCTAGAATAGGATTTGTCTACTTTGTGTCTTAGACTGGATTGTGTGTCTGTTTGTGTGTGTGTGTGTGTTTAATTTGATTTTTAACGTAGCTTCAACAATGTTTCAGTTATATCGCTACAATGTCTGAAGTGGGGCAGTTTATAGTGATGTCAAGCTCAGGGGAATGATGGTGCAGACATGATGCATGACGTCCCACTCAGTCACATTATCCTGACACTAGTTCGACCAATGATAACGCTAACTTCTTAATGCTGACACCAAGTGAGTTTGCTCTTAGTACCACTTTTCTTTTTTATGACTCGGCTGGGGATCGAACCCACGACCTCTCCCATCCGAGGTGGACGCTCTGACGCCTAAGCCACCGGAGCGGAAGAGACTGGATTGGGATACTGAGTACAGTGTTTCAATTGTAGTAAGTGGTTGTGTTTGTATTGACGTATCATAAAGATTAGGCATTTTCAAAACATAATCAATGGTCTACGCAATGTCATTAGATTTATATGCCCTTTCTATCCATCAGAATACTTTCTAGGTATGACGGTACCTTAGAGAAGACAATACCGTTGTCCAAGAAGACAAAAGGAAGACTTCCAAAATTTGGCATAAAAAAGGAAAGGTGTGGAAGTTCGAGAAGTCATTACAACTAGTATAGAAAGAGACAACGTCCAAGTCCGATATAGTTCATTGTAACTACAAAACCCAAGAGAAAAAGATGAATACTTTAAAATAAAACACCATATAAGTTTGGAGATTCTCAAACAGAGTGCGATGCTTTGATTGAGATGGCAGTGATGCCGCAAGCTATGGCCTCAGTAATTCAGTACCACATCATAGGTATATTGCTATGTTACTATTACTGCCTCCACTACCATTATTATTATTATTATTATTATTATTATTATTATTATTATTATTATTATTATTATTATTATTATTATTATTATTATTATTATTATTATTATTGCTGTTGCTACTAAAGAACATGCCATGGAAAGTGATGCATTGAGTCTCAATCCTGACCGATGCGAAAGCGATGCCACTCGTTATCGTACACCTTATCACTTTACTGATTTTCATTGTTGATGTCATCCTCCAGGTGAATACATGTAATTTATATCCTATGGATGTCATCAAAAATTGAGCAAACTACTATGGATTTCACCGTACCCTTATCGATTGAACCTGTGAAAGAAACGTATTCATTCCTTGTGCGTTTGCCTGAATACTGCGACTTTGAAAGCAGATTTTAAACCTTCCAAGGAAAATGGCTTAACTATCTGGGAAGACATACCACCGAAGAATTAGCCAGAGCCGGATTTATCTACTTAGGTGATAGTGATAAAGTCTAGTACTTCAGTTGCGGATTGCCACTACACCAGTGGGAACAGAAAGATTTCGCTTACCTGGAACAGCTCGCATTGTCACTACCTACCTCTAGTTGGACCCATTAATCTCTGGATGGATAGTTTATAAGAGAGCATTGGTTGTTTTCCTGTGAAGATGAGAGAACGAATTTAGCGAAAGTTTGTCAAAATATAAGTGAAACGCAAAATCACAATCATTTCTTCTTTTGAAACTATGCTATTTTTTAAAGCAACTGAAGACTCATTATAGGGGACACTACTTCAGTCACAAATATTAACGAGGCTATTGGCCACATCCCAGCGATTCCTAATTTTTGTAATCTTGCAATATTTTATTCATTCCAACAAATGTGAGTATAACAAATTGGCTACCATTCCACAATATTTATGAGAGATAACACAATTGCCATAGAAAGCAATCAATGACACTATTCAGACTGTGGTAGATTAGCAAAGCTTATTACGAGAACTATATCCAATCCCTGTGGTGTGTGTCTTAGTGACTTGCTTTCTGAGATTTCGTTTACTATGTGATTCTTTGTGGTCTCGATACAATCTGTACTGTGAGGTATCGCCCCGGAAATAACATTTAGGGAGGACCCGTGTAACTGCGCCAAGGGTAAAGCCCCTAAGAACATTACAATCTGTTTCAAGAACGTCAAAATGTTGTACAACTACTTGTTTATATTCCACTTTGATGTGTATTTTCTCTATATACTTAATCATTTGGCCTTTATATATTGTTTGTCCTTCGTGTTCCATTTTAAAACATTTTGTTATCAACAAATGTGTCTGAATTGAAAGTATAAAAACTCTTTTCTTTTATGCCTTTGTTTAAAGAGTGATATTCCCTGCACTATGGCTACCTCTGATGGCCTTGCTCCAACTTCACCACTTTCAAAATCATCGACGAAAACGTAGATCGTGGCAGTTGGGAGGCCTTGTATCTTCGCTATCCCTTTAACATTTTAATGGATGGACCAAGCAATTCAGGCGAAACCGAATTTGTCAACCTCAATGTATCATTTGGTGTTACAAAGAGTGGCAATCGTCGTAACACTCCTGCGAGAACGTCAAGGTGATTTCATCGTTTTGTGAAAGGTATTCCCCTCGAAGACGACGGAATCGTATCTGTCAAGTCAAACTCATCTGGGCAACTTTGACTAGACAACATATTAGGAGAAGACGATGAAGAAATTTAACTGTGGTTTAAGTGCAAAGGGCATCATCGTAATACTAGTGTAAAGAACATCATCATCTAAAATTTGTTTCAACAAAGCAAATCCCATCGTACCATGAGTCTCAATGCTCATTACGTGGTCTTGTTTAAAAGCCCTTAAAGATAAAACGCAAAGTGCAAGTGTTAACCAAACAGGTAGGAATTCCTTGGCTGACTCATGCGTACGACGAAGCCACTCCAACACTATGGTCATAATTACCCGGGTATTTAAAACCCACGACCCACGATTATTTGCGATTTTGTTTACCCATTTCTTTCACCAATGATGCCTGTCGTGTACACGTAGCCTGGACTAAACAAGAAAAGCTATGAAAACCTCGGACACTTTTGGTTTATCTCAAATTGATTCGTCTCTTATAATGCATCAGTGGCAAAAAATCCAGAAGCTCGTCTCAAAAAGTGCTTAGATGGATTACAAATACAGCAGATCATTTATTAAAGTCATCCTATAAAACCAAACGCATTTTAGACAGAAGAAAATGATCTTTGAATCAACTGGCAGATCCCCAGAAATGAGTGACCCCAGAAAACAGCTTCTATCCGCAAGAAAGGCACTTCGAACAAGGCAAATCCTTACATCCCAAAACCAAGACTTGTAGCTAGCGTGACCGCATCTCCATTAGCTTCATGTTCTTCCTCTTCCGCGTTGCTGGTGAATGCAGTCAATCTAATATGGCACGCGTCTTTCTTAGTTTGAAGAATAAATGGAAATCCGTGACTCCAGGAACAACGTGCATGCCCCCAAAATGAAAGTCTAAGATAGATCGGACATACTACATAGCTTCATTTACTTATCTAAGTAAGAACTGTCCAGATTTAGTCCGGTGCGAACTCCTCCATGGCGCGTGATACCGGTCACCAAGTGAAGGAAATCAGTGTCGACGCATTTCACTAAACTTACCATGGTCATACGGTGGATATCTGCGCTCCCATGCCCCTCAACGCCAAAAGATGTCTCCTAAAAAAAGCGCACACTACCATCGTCGTTCTCCTGTCCAAAAGCGAAGGGAAAACGAAAAGGACAGTCTAAAATGGCACTTAGCCAAGCATCGGCGTCTACCCCAGAAAAGACACAGACTTCCAAAGAAAGAGAAAACAAGTCGCCACATTTTGTACGAAGCGATTGTCAAAGAATTCGTGAAAAAGTCTGGTTACACACCCTTCGACCTACTCCAAAGTATACGATAAAAGAACGTTTACCAAGTCACCGACGTCGTTGTATTTCTGTGTGTGCCCCTGAACGAAGATATCGCCCAGAGAACCCATCCCTCTTCTATCACAAAGAAAGAAAAGGAAATGAATGCTTCGTCATTTAACCAAACATTGAGATGTGTTGTTCATCATGTCAAAAACCCCTCCAACGACTCAAACTGCCTCCAAAGCCGTCAGCTATGCCATGTGCGAATATTGTCTGAATGTCTTGAAAGGAATAATACCTTTGTCTCAATATCAGAAAGAATACTTAGCCAAGTATCGAAATTTTCTTTGCCAGATGGTACGAAAGAAGATACCCATCCGTTAAAAGAAAAAGATGTTTATGCAACAAGGAGGATTGGTGCACCTGTTTTTAGAACCCATACTGAAAGCCACATTGGCTTCCCTGATGGTAGCTTCTTCATAAAATGTCAAAGATAAAAATGATCAAGACGACTAAAGGACTCTGTGGAGTCAGGATTTACTATGATCCATCCCTTTCCGTGGATTATGGAGTAGTTTACAAATTGTATCGTACTACTCACTCAAACCCAAGTGAAAAGTATTTGTTTACCTCAAGTGTCACGATGGTTACAATGGCAAGCCACGTACACATTACACAAACATCATTTATCAATTGCAAGCCGACATAGCTTATGTCTCTCATTTGGCCACCTACAATCGTGGCTATAAATATTTGTTTTGTGTCAACGACGTCTTTTCCAAATTTACCAGGGTCGTGCCATTGACTTTCACATCAAACATTGAGTTAGTACCAACTCTCAAATTATCGTTGAAACAAAGCGGTTGACACACTCTTAGATGACAAATTGACAAAAGCACCGAACTTCTAAACCAAGCTTTCCAAAAGAATTAAAGAAACGATAATTTATTCACCACCAAGAATCCCGAAATCAACACCGGAAGTGTGGAATGTTTTGAACTCACCTTAAACGAATTCATGTAGAAATATTTTACGTATCAACAATCTAAAGTACATCGACGTTTTACTGCATCTGGCCAAAGCGTACAACCAATATTACCATCAGAACATCCGATGCATCCCCTATAATGTGATTGCCGACAACGAAGTGACCGTCTTTGAATGCCTGTTTGGTACGTCCCCGACATTGGATGTCCGCCATAGACAGATGTGAAGCGTTTAATGCGCGGAAGATTGTGTGCGTATTGGCAAAATCAAACGCACTCTCAACAAAGGTTACTTACCCAATTGAAACAGAATTGTTTCGTGTCACTGGACGAGTGCGTGGCAATTATCTGCCGTATATTAATTGGAGGACATGAACGGGCAAAGATTGAAATGAAGGCTTTACATGCCCGAGCTACAACGCGTGAACATAGCAGAAGAAGAATTGTTCGACATTGAAAGCATTCTCGATGGAAGAACCCATACAGTGGGAAAACGAAGTCAATGTACTTTGAAAAGGGCATCCGCTTAGTTTTGATTCATGGATCGAAGCTTTGCAAATCATCTATTATAAAATGAAGTGACCTTCATGTTATTCAACTCATCCTCAACCACCACTCTGACCGCTCCTTCAACGTTTTC